AAGAATGAGGATGTGAGTTCAAATCTCTTGGACTCATGAGAAGCCAGGTGTGGTGGGTGTCTCTAACCCCCGTGCTCTGATGGTGAGATGGGGGCAGGAGAGTCCCCGAGGCTTACAGCCAGCCAGCAATGCCCAGCAATAAAGAGACCTCTCGCAAACAAGGCAGAAGGTAAGGGCCAACACCTGAGGTTGTCCTCTGAGCTCCAGGTGTCCTCCACCTCTGTCCTCTGACACCTGCTATGGCACATGTGCCTCCACACACTGAGACACACACAGACACATATACACAGAGATATACACACAGAGAGACAAACAGACACACACAGATACACATACATAGACACATACACACAGAGACACACATACAAACACAAAGAGACACAGACACACACACATGCATACACAAACACACACATTTTCCAAGTTCCTGCAATTGGAACACCATGATCCAGAGTTCAGTGAGCAAAAAGAACTCAGTAAAAAGATGACAGTCAACAAAGCAACCAGGAGCTAAATGACGTAGCCCACAATTAAAGCTTTGGAATCAATTCCATGTAATGGAAAACCACTGGAGGGTTTTCAGTAGGAAAATGACATGATTAGGTTTGTATTTCAAGGGAATAAACAGCAATAAAGACTAATGAATACCCACGCATCCACTCCGCATTCTCAGCAATAGGTCATTACAAGCACAAACGTGATGCTTTTCTCCAGCCCCTCCCCCTCCTTTTAATGGATATAACCACTGTTCTGCCTCAGGTAATTTTTATTATTATTGTCTTGTTATGTATCTTGCCACCTTGAAATTATGCATAGATCATGTTATACTGTTGAACATTTTATAAATAAGATTATGTTGTTTTTCTTGCCGTCTGTGGTTCAACATTGCTTGTGAGGTTTTACCCTGTTGGTGTGTCTAATTCCATCCCTTCGTTATTTTCCGTTATGATCTATAAAGCATCATTATTCTACATTGTCTCTTGACGAACATTAGGTTTTCCCCGTTAATATTCAATTATGAGAAATGTTGCCCTGAGGGCCAGAGAGCTGGCTCCGTTGGTAAAAGGGCTTGCTCAAGCTTGAAGACCTAACTTCAAGCCACAGCACCCACAAAAAAAGTCAGGCATGGTGACACACTTGTAACCCCAGTGCTGGAGAGGGGGAGATAGGTGGCTTGCTGGGACTCCCTGCCTGGCCAGCATAGACTAACGATCAAGTCTCAGATCAGTGAGAAACTTTGTCTCAGAAGCCAAGGCAGGAGGCTGGAGAGATGGCTCGGTGGTAGAGATCTCTTAGGACTCTCGCAGAGGACCTGGGGTCGAGGTTCCCAGTTCCCTCATGTCAGAACACAAACACCTGTAATTCAAGTTGCAGGAGATCTAACACCCTCTTCTGACTCTGAAGGGCTCCTACACTCATGGAGTGCACACCCAGGCACACACAGTTAAGGTAAAATATAAAACAATAAAATAAATACGAGATGGACCACTCCTGAGGAAGGACACCCTAGGACCTGGGTTGACCACGGGCATCCACCTGCATGCACACACGCGCACACACACACACACACACACACACACACACACACACGGGGAGGTGGGGAGGCTATATTGCAGGACTAGGGAGATTGATAAAGTGATTGGCACACAGAAATGAGGACCTAAATTTGGATCTCCAGCACACACATAAAAGCTGGGGGTGCACATCTGTAATCCCAACACGAGAGGGGAGGAAGGGAGACAGGTAAACCCCTAGAGCGCATTGGCCAGTCAGTCCAGCCAACTGGCTTCATGAGAAGTCCAGGTTCCATAAGGAAACAACACTGTCTCAAAAAATAAGGTGGCTAAAGATCAACGAAGACACCAATGCCAACCTCTGTTCTCCAAATGTGCACGTGCACACACACACACACACACACACACACACACACACACACACACACACAGAAATACTACCGTGAACTTCTCTGCAAAAACACCTAGGAGCAGGGTAATTTCTGCACCTAACAACATGGAGATGGCCAGCTTGCCAGGGCATTCCACACTGCGCGCAGAGCTGCTAGCTACGCCTCCCACCCCCTGCCTGCATGGACAGCGCTGACTCCACAGCCTCAGAAACACGTGGTAACACAGTTTGAGTCCTAACGTCCATGTGGCCATTCACATCTGTAATTGCTGTTCCAGGAGGATTCACTGCCCTCTTCTGGCCTTTTTGGGTACTACAAGCATGTTTTACATAGACACAGAGGCAAAACACTCATAAAAAACAAATCTGATTTTTTTTGGGGGGGGGGGAGGTTTCAAGACAGGATTTCTCTGTGTAGCCCTAACTGTCCTGGAACTAGCTCTTGTAGACCAGGCTGGTCTCGAACTCACAGAGATCCACCTGCCTCTGCCTCCCAAGTGCTAGGATTAAAGGCGTGCGCTACCACCGCCCGGCTAAAACCTAATTTTTAAAAAAATTAAGTGGCACAAAAGAGTAGTAATACAGAATTTAAAAATGAAAATTTCCAAAATCACTTTATTACATCTAAATTCTAAAGGGAAGTTTGGCTGATTTACGACTTAGATCAAAGAAAATGATTTTCATTTTTTTAGTCCTGGGGATCAAACCCTGGGTCATGGCAAGTCAAGGTTTGCCAAGGGTAAGGCTCTGTCACTGAGCCGCATCCCCAGCCCCCAAATTTAATGAATGATTGACAGGAGGTTGTCGAAGGCTTGATTTCTTTGCATGTCCATCCAGGTTTGTTTCCACCTGTGGTGTCTCACCCACATCCCTCCTCTTTCATCTGATGTAGCTCACTTCCTTCTATGGGTGGTAACTCCCTGAGTTAGTCAGAGACTCACTGCAGGTGGCAAGGAGACCCACAGGACAGGATTCCTCAGAGGCGGGGCAGGGTGAGTCCACAGGGTGCCAATTCCAGTTTATTAATTGTGCTTTCTCTTCTTAATTTTCTTTGGTCCAGCATGGTTTGCCAGGTTCTCATCAGTCTTTATCCGGTGGTGACCAACGAGACCTGTATCCTAGAATACATTCAATAAAAAGAAGAATTAAGCCAGGCAGAGTGGCACAGGCCTTTAATCCCAACCCTCAGGAGGCAGAAGCAGGAGGATCTCAGAGTTTGAGGCCAGCCTGGTCTACAGAGTGAGTTCCAGGACAGCCAGAGGTATGTAAAGGAACACTGTCTCCCAACAGAAGAAGAACGTGCAGAAGGAGGAGGAGGAGCATTCAGACCCATAGAAACGACTGAGCTGGCCGAGTGCCGTGTCCTGCATAGCTTGGTCCTGGAAACCTGGCTGGGGCAACAAGGGATCCAAGAAAGGAAGCCATGCTTACGGGAAAGCTGGGGTCATGTGAGTTGTGCTTACTCTGACGGGGTACACCTGCTACACACTACTCAGACTCTTGGCGTGTTTATCACACGCAGCATAGAAAGAGGCCTTAGCTAGCGGCAGGAGTAGGAGGTCTCTGTCAGGAGCACTGTCAGGCTGTCAACCCTGGAGGAGGAAGCTGCGGTTGCTAGCTTTTCACACACTGATCAATCGCTCATAGACACTCAGTTCCTACACACACTGCCAACACTCGCATTCAGACCCGAGGGAGGCTTTCCCATCCCTCTGGCCCCTCACTTGGGGAAGGCTTTGCCACTGTCATGATCTGAGGATTTGAACCTTTGACACAACAGTACCATGTCAGACAACACACACACTCACTCAGGACTTCATTGATTTGTTAGTTTGTTTGTTTTCCAAGACAGGGTTTCTCTGTAGCTTTTGGAGCCTGTCCTGGAACGCACTCTGTAGACCAGGCTGGCCTCGAACTCCCAGACACACGCCTGCCTCTGCCTCCCCAGTGCTGGGATTAAATGCAAGCACCACCACCACTGCCCGACTAACTTCATTGACTCTTTACATATTAACTCAAGGGTTTCTCAGCTCCCCAAAATCAAGGACCTGCCATCAAGCATGGGGACCTGAGTCCAGATCCGCTGGGCACTGTGCATGCTCTGTAACTGGCACTAGAGGGATGGAGAGAGCCTAGTCAAATCAGTGGGTTCCAGCTTTGGCGAGAAACTATCTCAAAATAAAGATGTTGGAGAGCGAGGCACGATGGCGCATGCCTTCAATCCCAGCACTCAGGAGGCAGAGACAGGCGGATCTCTGTGAGTCTGAGGCCAGCCTGGTCTACAGAGTGAGTTCCAGTCTATACAGAGCTACATAGTGAGATCCTGTTTGGAAAATAAACAGAAATAAAATGACGAGCCACTGAAGAAGACATTCAGAGTTGACCTTGAGCTTCCGCACTCACACGAGCTTCCACACTCACATTCATATATGTATATACCACACACACACACACACAATCTTTTTTTAAAAAAATAAAAAAGATTAGGTTTAAATGATCAAACTTAGAAGGACCTCCTGGAAACAAAATGCAGCGTGGCTCGTCATACTTCTCTGTGTGTGTGGTGTGCGTATGTGTGGTGTGTGTGTGTGTGTGTTGCTGGGGAAGCAAAGCAGAGACTCATGCATACACAAGCATGAAATCACATCCCAAGTCCTCTGACCTGTGTACTTTTGATTCCTTGGTTTCTCCTGTATGATTAATTAATGTGGGATTTCCCTCTGGCTGTGAATACCATTGGTTAATAAAGAAACTGCTTTGAGCCTATAGCAGAGCAGGGCAAAACAGAGCTGGCGGGAGTGGGGAGGTTGACTAAACTGAATGCTGGGAGGAAGAAGGCAGAGTCAGGAGAAGTCATGGAACCGCCGCCAGAGACAGACATGCCCAGATTTTGCCCGTAAGCCACAACCCCGTGGTGATACACAGATTAATGGAGATGGGTTAGTTTAGGATATGAGTTAGCCAGAAATATGCTTAAGCTATTGGCCAAACAGTATGCCAATAATATAGTCTCTGTGTGGTTATTTTGGGGCTGAGCAGCCGGTAACAAACAAGCAGCCTCTTACAACAATTAATTGATATGGTCAGTTAAGAAGTGATGATATGAAATGCTAATATCAGTTAATATGATCCAGCGGGATGGAATTCTACAGAACTGTGCAGTGCTGTGGGCCTTCCAACATGGCTGAGTGGAGCTGCCCATGGCTGTGTAGCAGTCTGGGTCTGAAGGAAGAACAAGACGATAGCTGTAACTGCACTTTCTTAAGATCCTGTGGATGGGCGTGAGGGACAAAGTCCCCTGCTGCCCCTGGAAGGTGAAGCAATCACCCCGCAGGGTGGGTTCTGATGGAGGACCCTCGTGGACACCAGGGGGCATCCTGGTCCCGGGGGGGTTATCTAGGACACGTGCACTCCCCTAAGGGTAAGTTGAAGAGTCTCCCATGGAAAGCATTTGAGACAAGGAATACAGAGCACCAAGCGGTCTCTTGGTACATGTTGCAAGAATAGATTTTTTAAAAGAATAAGAATGGTAAAAAAAAAAAATTAGCAAGGAAAATGGAAACCTGGAAAATTATGGAACAAATGATGGATCTGTGAGTGAGCCCACTCTTTGTTTAACCTACATTGGAGTGACCCACATGACAGAAATGACACTAGGAATAGGAATCGCCGTGATCAATGCTGTGAGTAGGTGTACTGGATGGTTTGTGTGTCAACTTGACACAAGCTGGAGTCAGCAGAGGAAGGAGCCTCAGCTGAGGAAATGCCTCGAGGAGATCCATCTGTAAGGCGTTTTCTCATTTAGTGATTGATGCCGGAGGGCCCAGCCCATGGTGGGTGGTGCCTTCCCTGGGTTCTATAAGAAGGTGGGATGAGGGGCTGCAGAGGTGGCTCCGTGGGGCAGATCACTCACTGCTGTTGCATAGGACCTGGGTTCAATCCCCAGTACCCACATGGTAGTTCACAACCATCTGTAACTCCACTCCCGGGAGCCTGATGCCCTCTTCTGACCGCCCTGGGCACCAGGCATTTAGGTACTCTGCATACACATGCTCGGGTACACACAAAAGTAGACACATCTTTAAATAAATAAATAATAAAAGAAGATGGACTGAGCAGACCATGGGAAGCAAGCCAGGAAGCAGCTCCCCTCCATGGCCTCTGCATCAGCTCCTGCCTTCAGGGTCCTCCCCTGCGTGAGCTCCTATCCTGACCTCCTCCAGTGAAGAGCAACAGCAATGAATGAACCCTTTCCTCCCACAGCTTGCCCTTGGGTCCTGGTGTTTTGTCGCAGCAACAGAAACCCTAAGACACCGGCATAGTGGGGTATGGCTGCGACACACCTGACCATGTTTTGGGGAGGATTGTGAAGGGACTTTGGGCTAGAAAAGCCATTGAGTGTTGAGGCCTCAATAGGCTGTTGTGTGGGAAGATGAGAGCGTTGAGAATGGACGCCTGGCTTGTGGAGTTTCTGAGGGAAGTTTAGAGACTCTCTGGGGGCCACTGGTTATTTTGAATTATATTGACTAAGATCCTGCAGTTCTGGCTAGCTGAGGCTGAAGAATCAGCTGTGATTCACAAGATCCCAGAACTACTAAAGCAAACTTTTGTTTTGCTGGGATACTTGATGCTGGTCGGCTGGAGCTAAGAAATGAGCGGTGATGAAGAAGAGACCGGCATCAGTGAGGTGAAATCTTCTGGGACGTGTTTCCTGAGAACACAGAGAAACTGCTGCAGAGGCTGCCAAGGTTGAACCTCGTTGCTGGCAGCTGAACTCGGTAAAGTGTAAGGTCACCCAGGTGGTACTGGGTTTGCAGGCGTGAAGGGGTCACAGAAAGCACCTAAGCTTGACACTGTGAGAGGCCAAGAGAGATCATTGATGAGGGCGCAGCCCCAGTAGCAGTTGAAGGCCCAGGACTGAAGGGGGTCCTGCAAAGACGTTGAGGCTTGGCACCCCGAGAGCCTGTGAAAGGCTTTTAGTGAAAGCGCAGCCCAGTCGCAGCAGAAGACCCCAGCATTGGAGATGCCAGTACCACGGGATGTTCATCATAAAGTCCAGCATCAATGGAGGAGTACCAGTCAGGATCTAGAAGACAAGTTGTGTGTGCTTTAGAGACAGAGAAGTGACCCAAACCCTTTGCAGGAACCCAGAAGATCATGCGTGGATCTCAGACACTGGACAGTTGGAGTTGCTTGGCTTTGATTGCAGGGAGGGGGGTGAAAATGAGCCTTAATTTGTATGTGGGTGAAAAGAGGAGTGATTTTTTTTTTAAAGATTTGTTTGTTTATTATACAGTATTCTGTCTGCATGTAAGCCTGCAGGCCAGAAGAGGACGCCAGATCTCATTACAGATGGTTGTGAGCCACCATGTGGTTGCTGGGAATTGAACTCAGGACCTTTGGAAGAGCAGCCAGTGCTTTCTTAACCTCTGAGCCATCTCTCCAGCCTGAGATGTGATTTTTAAAGTGGACTGGGAGTGGATTTGTTACACAGAGGAAGGGAGGTAGTGGCTCTTGAGAAATCATCTCACTTGGGCTCAGTAAAGCTAACTTGAGGCTGCACACAGCCAAGAGTTTGTGGATTGTCCTTGTCACTTGCTTCTACCACCCACCTATAGCCACGATCAGGGAGGCTGCACACCACGTGCTGTCTCCTCTGCAGTGCTCCCTGAGACGGGAGAAACGAGCGTTCGCCATCTTCTCCTGCCCTGCCTGTGTTGGCCCACGTGAGTGTTCCTGCCTTGCAACGGCGTTCCTTCCTTCTCTGCAGCTAGGAGGGACCAGCCAGAGAGGGGAAGAACACTGTGGTCCACAAGTCGTACAGCAGAAGGAAGACTTGGTGTCACTTACTCTTACTAAAGAAGTCCGGGAAATTGGCTTGCACCACTCTCTCGTTGAGGGCCTGGGTCTTGCGGTAGATGTTATGAAGGGTCTCGTTGTGGTCGTTTTTAATAGTGTTCTCCATATTCACAACCTGCAGACAACATGAGGTGACTTATTGGGGAAAGCATTTGGTGAGTGATTGGATAGATGCTCTCATTTGTGTGATCTGGCAGAGGGTCGGACCCCCTCGGGCGCAGCGCCCCGCTAGATCCTTTCCTCCGGATCTTGCCCCTCCATCCTTTTGTCTTCCCGCAGGAGTGTTTGGTTCACAGAATAAAAGTGATGAGTAACAGAGATATATCAAGTGGCAAGCTCAGTGCTTGTTTTTCTAAAATTATATTCTGTCTACATCCTTGAAGTATTTGTTTCTTGTTTCTGCATGACAATGTCTGGGTTCTTTGTTCATGTCCCTCCTTCTTTTTCAAGACAGGGTTTCTCTGCGTAACAGCCCAGCTCTCCTGGAACTCACTCTGTAGACCAGGCTGGGCTTGAACTCAGAGATCTGCCTGCCTCTGCCTCGCGAGTGCTGGAATTAAAGGTGTGTGGACTTTTATTTTATATTTTAGACAGTGTCTCACTACATGCTCCTGGCTGGCCTGGAGCTCACTCTGTAGACCAGGCTAGCCTCGAACTCAGAGATCTGCCCGCCTATGCCTCCCAGTTGCTGGAACTACAGCCATGCACCCCACACCTGGCTGAATCTCTCCTGGAACTTGAGACATCGGCTAGCTCTCTCCTCCACCCTCCATCTCTCCTTGCTACTTTGCACATTTCCAGCTCCAGTCCTCTTTGTGCCATGGTTAGACTGTTTTTCTACCTCTGTCTTCCAATTTACTAGCTGTCTCTTGAAGTAAATCTAACATGCTATTAACCCTTTCATTCAGTTGCTAATTGTGGCTAATCTAGTTTCATTCCTAAAAATCCTATTTGGTTTTTATGCTCAAGTCTGGTTGATCATTTTGTACTTTTTTTTTCTTTTCCCTATATTTAAATCTCTTATTTCTTTATACATATCAGATACCCTCACATTATTTGTCTGGTAATTCCCTGTCTGAAATCTTTGTAACTCTGCTTCAGATGGTCCTCATTCACACTGTCTTTCTCCTTGTGTTGGTAGGTTGGTAGGTAGGTAGGTTGGTAGATTAGTAGGTAGATAGGTAGTAGGTTAGTAGGTAGGTAGATAGGTTGGTTGGTATGTTGGTTGGTAAGTAGGTTGGTAGGGAGGGAGGTTCGTAGGTAGGTGCATAAGTTGGTAGGTAGATAGGAAGGTAGGTAGGGAGGTTAGTAGGTAGGTTTGTAGGTAGGTTGGTAGATCAGTAGGTGGGTAAGTTGCTTGCTTGGTTGGTTGGTAGGTAGGTAGGTAGGTAGGTAGGTAGGTAGGTTGGTTGGTAGGCAGGTTGGTATGTTGACTGACTCGTGTCTGAACTATTTATTATTCTGAAAGGCAGAAGACAGCTGATAGAGCGGTTCTCCTCAAAAGGCTGAGTATAGGGCTGGAGATATGGCTCAGTGGTTATGAGCTCTTGTTGCTCTTGCGGAGAACCTAAGTTTGGTTCCCAGCACCACACAGCAGCTTCTAAGTTCCTGTAACTCCACATCCCGGAGCTTGGATGGCCTCCTGCATGCATGTGGTTCATAAAGACACCCTCCAGTACGACAGATGTACACTATGGTGCACACACATACAAACTGGAATTACTAACTGTTTAAAGATTGACTATAAAGCTGTGTTTAACACAGCAAAGAACTGAAGCACCCCTTGGCCTAGGGTGCCTAACAGACGGCGCGTGGCCAAGTCAGCTTGAGAACATTTGTCTTCACCGTCCACCTATTTCACACGGCTTGGATTCAAGACCTTTCACTGCATCGAATCCAAGCTCTTTTGATCAGCTGGGGCCTCCAATGCCCATGCCCACCTCAGTGACTGAAAGTCACCCACAGTTCCATGGGCAGGGGGGTGGTAGTGTTTGTCCCGGCTAGTTTTATGTCAATGTGACATAAGCTAAAGTCATCTGAAAGGAGGGAACCTCAATTGAGGCAATGCCTCCATAAGGTACAGCTATGGGGCCTTTTCTTAATTAGTGACTGATGGGGGAGGGCCCTGCCCATTGCGGGTGGTGCCACCCCGTCTGGTGATCCTGGGTTCTATAAGAAAGCAAGCAGAGGGGACTGGAGAGATGACTCAGTGGTTAAGAGCATTGACTGGTCTTCCAGAGGACCTGGGTTCAATTCCCAATACTCACGTGGCAGCTCACAACTGTCTATAACTCCAGTTTCAGGGGACCCAACACCCATGGTAAAACACCCATGCACATAAAATAGAAATGAAGTTGAAGAAGAAGAAGAAGAAGAAGAAGAAGAAGAAGAAGAAGAAGAAGAAGAAAGCAGGCTGAGGAAGCCACATGAAGCAAACCAGTAGGTAGCAGCCCTCCATGGCCCCACATCAGCTCCTGATTCTGAGTTCCTGTTCTGACTTCCTTCACTGATGACCAAGGCTGTGGAAGTATAAGCCAAATAAACCCTTTCTTCCCCAAATTTCTCCGGTCATGGTGTTTCACCACAGCAATAACAACCCTAAGACCGTATCATAGCCTGTGTACGGCAAATACCGAAGAATGAGGCGGGAAGAATGAGGCAGGCTCCTGGAAGAACGCTTGTTAGCCAAACAGTCACGGGGAGGCTTTGAGGACGTGGAGCCACTGTTACCTGGGTCTTAGAGAGCTTGACGGTATCTTGAAGCACAAACCACTTGACGTTCTCGGTGCAGGGGGGAGTGGTGAGCGAGCCTTCGTAGGTGTAATAGTGGAACGTGTCTCCAGGCAGCAAGTTATAAATGTTAATGTTTTTCAGGGTTGTTATTTGTCCTAAGAGAGAAGACACAGTATGGAATGGGATGGAGGGCTGCTGCCCCAGGAGGGACAGCTCGGGCTCTGCCTCAGCTTGGGAGCGGTCAAGTCCTCTGCCGAAGCCCAAGGAGCTGATGACCGAAAACGCTGCCCCCCCCCCCACTTGCTGCTCTGTGGATAGGTGAAGAGCAGAGAACAAAGCCTGGGGGTGCATGTGTGTAGTTCTAGCACTTGGGAGACGGAGGCAGGGGGATGTCCATTAATTCAAAGCCGGCCTGGACTCTAAATGACTTCCAGAGGCTTGAAGAGGCTCAGCAGTTAGGAGCATGTACTGCCTTCCCAGAAGCCCAGCGTTCAGCTCTTAGCACCCATATCAGGTGACTTACACAGCCGGTCACTCCACCTTCAAGGGATCATGGCTAAAGTTATAGGATCTGAGGGACACTCAGCTGTGAGATGGGTCTGGGATCTGAACTTGGGTCCTGATGACTGTGGAACAGGCGCTCTTAACTGCTGAGCCATCTCTTTACCCTCTATACAGAATACTTTTTAAAATTTTTTATGTGTATGAGTGTTTTGGCTGCATGTATGTATGTGCACCATGTGCATGCCTGGTACCCAAAGAGGTCAGAAGAGGACCCTGGATCCCCTGAAACAGGAGTTACAGGCAGTTGTAAGGAGCTAGGAATCAAACCCAGGTCTTCTGCAAGAGCAGCAAGTGCTCTTAACCACTGAGTGTGGAGACATTTTTGGCGTCTGCAGGTGTGCCTGAGCACACAAACACCCATACACATAAATAATTTAAAATTCCATATTTAAGGCCTGAGAGATGGCAATGGACAAGAACTTATACACAAGTTTCTCAGAGGTCTGTTTACCCCCTAAACCTACAGCAGAAAAGGACTGGAACAAGGTCCCTCAGGCAAAGAGACCTGAACCTCCCTCCAGAGGGCCGAGGCTTCCCTACCACCCCACACTCAATCCTCTCCCTGCCATGGGCGTTCCTTACCTGTATACTGGATGTTGAGCAGCTCAGAAATGAGAGGGCTGTAGTAGGTATTTTCCTCGTATTCATTGATCTGGGAGAAAGCACAGAACACTCAGTATGAGGGAGAACTACCTTGCACAGACACACACGCACCAGCAACTTGGTTTCCTAGCTGGGAAGGCTGAGCAGAAAACAGGGAGGTCAAGTGACTCAGCTGGGCTGGCGGGGACAAGATGACTGCTTCTTGCTACCACCTACCTGGGCTCTGACCTCGGGGCTTCTGGAAGACAAGATGTCCCAGGCAACGCTGCTCCTGTAACCCTATTGCTAGGACACTCTGTGATGTGAATGTTGATTTCATTGACTTATTTTAATGTGTGTCAGAGTTTGCCTGTGTGTCTGTATGTGTACCGTCTGCATGCAGTGCCCTTGAATCCCAGAAGAGGGCACCAGACCCACCTGAATTGGAGGCACAGGAGGTTGTGAGCTGTTATGTGGGTGCTGGGAACTGAACTCCCATCCTCCACATGAGCAGCAGACTCGAACCACTAAGCCATCTCTCCAGCCCAGTTTTTTTGTTTGTTTCAAGATGAAAGTAAAAGTTGCTTTTGGTGTAAAAGGCATATTATTTGTTTGTTTTCGGCTGCTGATTTGGTTGGTTTGGGTTTGATTTTGTTAGTTTTGTTTTGACAGGGTGTCTCTGTATAGTCCTGACTGTCCTGGAACTCACTCTGTAGACCAGGCTGGCCTCCAGCTTGGAGATCCTCCTGCCTCTGCTGCCTCCTGAGTGGTGGGATTAAAGGTGTATTGGCCACCACCCAGCTTGATTTGGGTGGTTTTTTTGTTTTTTGGGTGTTTGTTTTTTGCTTTTCTGTTTGTTTTGGTTTTTCAAGACAGGGTTTCATGGTTTAGCTCTGGCTATCCTGGAACTCACATTGTAGACCAAGTGGTCTTGAACTCACAGAGATCTGCCTGCCTCTGCCTTCTGTGTGCTGGAATTAAAGGGGTACACTGCCTGGCTTGATTTTGTTTTTTGAGGTAAGGTCTTGTTGTGTAGCCCGGACTGCACAGACCATGGTGGCTGCAGACTTGCAGCGATCCCTCTGCTCCCCGAGGGCGGGGATTACAGTCAAGCACCACAGATCATTTAGATCCCATTGACTTTTTCTCCTGGGATTCCAGGCTTACACCTTCACAACCAGCTTTGTTTTTATCTTTTGAGATAACTATAGAACCAATTGGGTATTTCATTTTGTTTGTAAATTTATCCAGTTTAATGTTAAGCTTTTGGAGAATTCAATTCCTGTCTACTTTAAAACATTTTTTCAAGATTTATTTATTTTCATTTTATATGTACGGGTATTTTGCCTGCATGAGTGTCTGTGTACCACGTGCGTGCCTGGTGCCCTCAGAGGCCAAAAGAAGACATCCGATCTCCGGGAAGTGGTTGCAAAGTGCCACGTGAGTGTTGCAACTGGAGCCTGGGTCTTCCGGTGCTCTCAATGACTGAGGCTTCTCTGCAGCCCAGATTCCTGCCTGCTCCTAGTCACCTATCCCGAAGTCCATCGCTCGGACTGTTTTAGAAGCACAGTGCTGGTGCCTTTGTCTGACCACACTGGATGTTTCACACAGCTCATGGGCCAGCTTGTGTCCAGTCAACCCTTCTGCGCTCCCGGGTCCTCTTATCACCCAGGGTCCCATGCTTCAAAACACAAGAGCAAGCAAGGACTGGCAAAGGTAGTCCTCCCCACTGACGGAGCTTTCCTGGGAAAGCTTAGGACAGGACTGAGAGAAATAATGGAGACAAGGTATCATTCAGACCCTTGAGCTGCTATGCCCTCCTTTGGACACACCGGCCTTGGAGTCCGGGGGCGGACCCACGACGTAGTTCCAGCTTACCTCCACAAGAACTGCCAGCACAGCCAAACCGTCGGGCTGGCTCTTGGCCTCGTCGAAGTTCTCGTACTTGGAATTGTAGTGAACAAAGTGGATCTGTGAGTGAGAGAAAGCAGGTCAAGGGCAGTGCATGGGGACTCCAGACCATGAAGGGTTCCCAGGGGGAAGGGAAAGGATAGAAAACGGTCCAGCCTCGACTACCCCACACAAACAGTACCGACCTCCCTCTGCCTGGGCAGGCTGCAAGCCCAACTGCCAAGACCAGAAACTTCTCTGAGAATGGAAAGAGGGAAGCAGGGTTCTGGAAGGTCGCTGTTCTGTTTGCCTTGACCCCAACCTCCCTCCTGGTAGACACTGGAGTCACTCTGTGCCTCCAATCCTCCTCGGGCCTCTAGGGGGATTGAGGAGCAAGGGAACAATGAACTCCCCTCCCTCGGGAAGCCACTGTGAGCCTGAAATCAAGGCAAGGAGGGATGCAGGCCAAAGAGGTTCTAAAATTCTAACACGCAAATCCAGCGGAAGCAGAGGAAGGCCTGGCACCATGCAGGCGAGACAGTCCTGCCACGCTGCGAGTTTCTGAAGAGAGAATCCATCTATGTTCCCTCACAGAGCAGTGCCCAGTAAGTTCTCAACGAACTGCAAATAAACCACAGGGTGACTGAACCATCACCATACCACCATGATTGCACAGTCGTATTGGCTAGTTCAGTAAGAAAGAGAGAGCCAATGGGGCTAGAGAGAGGGCTAAGAGCAATGGCTGCTCTTCCAGAGGTCCTGAGTTCAATTCCCAGTAATCACATGGAGGCTCACAACCATCCGTAATAAGATCTGAGGCCCTCTTTATTATTATTTAAGAGAGATGACTCAGTTGGTAAAGCCGTTGTTGTGTGAGCATGAGGAATTTAGTTCAATCCTAGCACCCACAAAGAGGAACTGGGCACAGCTGTGCATGCCTGTAATCTCAGCGCTGAGGCCAGTAGTAATAGGATTCCCGGGGTTCAATACCAGTCAGTCTAGTTAATAGCTGGAATCCAGACTCAGTGCAAGAGCATAGATAGATAGATAGATAGATAGATAGATAGATAATAGATAGATAGATAGATAGATAGATAGATAGATAGATGTGTGATAGAGGAAGACAATGTCAACCCCTCCACACACATGCACATATATGTGCATGTACACTCACATGCATGTGTACATACATGACACCTGTATAACACAAACATACAAACACATAAAAAGTGACTATGGACCTTGAAGGAAAAGGGACCCCGCTGGGGTCGTCACATACCTCTATCACACGCCTGATCCCATCGACGGTGTGCTCAGAGCCGCTGATTTCTGCGAAGTCCCCACCCCAGTGGAAGTGCATCTGCTCTGCTTTATACAAGGTGCCGTTAGAGTCTTTCATGCTCATGGTGGAAGGCAGGGCGATCTGCACTGCAGGAGAGAACACAGCACAGGGAGGCTCAGACTCCCCAGTAAGCAGCCTCCCGGGTCATCTCCCACCCCACACCTTTCTGAACTTGTGGCTGTGCTAATGAAAAGCCCAGGCCCAAATCTCTCTTGTCTCAGGACAGACAAGGCTACACAGAGAAAGTCTGTCTTGGTTAAAAAGAAAGAAAGAAAGAAAGAAAGAAAGAAAGAAAGAAAAGAAAGAGATATTGACAGTATAGCAGCCCTGCCCCTGTTCTGTCTTGCATGTGAAGGCCATAGGTTCTACTGTTAACCCTAGAAAACATTAACAACAACAAATTGTTTTATTGTTCTGCAAAAGACTCTGGTCAGAGAAGGAAAGCATAGATGATAAACTGTAAGAAAGGATTTATAAACATCTGATAAAAGTTTACAGAAGCAATGACTCAGAGGTTAAGAGCACTGACTGCCTTCCAGAGATCCTGCTTCAATTCCCAGCACCCACATGGCAGCTCATAACCATCTGTAATTCCAGTTCCAGGAGAACAGTGCCCTCTCCTGGCCTCCACAGGTGCTACACACACATGGTGCACATAACACATACAGGCAAACACTCACACACATAAAAATCTTTACAAAAAATAAAGGGCTCTTAAAATTCAACAATAACACCAGGCATGGCAGTGCCCACCTTTAATCCCAGCACTTAGGAGGCAGAGGCAGGTGGACCTCTGAAGTTCGAGGCCAGCTTGGTCTACAGAGAGAGTTCCAGGACAGAAAAATCCTGTCTCAAAAAAAAAAAATCAGCAATAAGAAAATGAGCATGCTAATTTTGAAAATCAGCAAAACACCTAAGCAGACACTTTATCATTGAAGATATATAAGCTGGGCGTGTCTGCAGTCCCAACACTCAGGACGCCAAGACAGAAGGACCACTTGTACATAATTTTAAATCAACATGGACAACATGGAGACTCCTTCCCCATCTGTTACAGAAACAGTCCAGATGCCTGAGAGCTGACTCAGCAATTAACACGGACTTAACAAGACTTAAGCAATTAACAAGGCTGCTTTTGTGGAGGACCCACATTCAATTCCCAGCACCCCTGTCAGGTGGCTCACAAATGCCTGTAGCTCTGGGAAGGAGCTGAGGCCCCTGGCATCCGAGGGCACCTGCACTCGTATGCCCAGACCCACAGACACACACACACACATACACATACAAGCACATACACACACATGCACACGCACATACACACACGCACATACATATAGCTAAAAATAATGAAATAACTCTTTAAAAATAGATGATAAATTTAACCCAAAAGTAGAACACAGACTTAGCATGCACAGAGCCCTCCAATGCCTCAAATGCTAGTAGTCTGTGGATCTTAGTAGTCCCAGCCACAGTACCTGGGCCACTCAAAGGCATGGCTCTGTTCTCCTCTTACCACTCACCTGACCCATAACTGGAATTTGGTTTTGTTGTCTCAATGAGGCAACACGCACCTGTGCATAGACAGTAAACTGATTCACCCAGGAACCAGGTACAATAAGGCTGAGAACCAAACATCTGGGCCTGTGTCACTGGGCCACTAGTGACTATGATCTTGAGTGAACCCGTGGCCTTCTGAGACCTCAGGTTTCCTGCCTGTAAATGGCCTCCCTTAGTCAAGCGTGGGGGTGGGGTGCAGGTGTCCCATCCCAGCACTTGAGAAGTAGAGATGGGACAGCCAAGAGCTCGAGGCGCTTGGAGTCTGAGACCAACCATGGTTAGCTGAGCTCAAAAATCAAAGACAGGCTAAGGAGCCGGCTCAATGGCTGAAGTGCTTACCACACAAGCAAGAGGACCCGAGTTTGGAACCCCAACACCTTCATAAAAAGCCAGATACAGAGCTTCATATGTGTAATCCCAGCCCTAGGGAAGGTGACAGGCCAACCTAGCAGCCTGTCAAGCCAAGTCAGTGAGTGGCTGTCTCAAAATCTAAGATGGAGGGGCTGACGGGATTGCTCAGGGGTCAAGGCACTTGGTGCCAAGCCTGATGACCTGAGTCTGAGCTCTATGGCCATCATAATAGGAGGAGGCACCGCTGCACACGTACAAATAAATAAATAGATGTAACAAAAAGTTAAAAACTAAGAGAGCTATTGAAAAAGATACTGGATGTTACTCTCTGGATTTTATCTACATGTGCACATATGTACCTGTGTACCTACACACACGCATGCGCGCACACACATACACACACACACATACACACACACACACACAATACAATGCCCCCCTCCTGAGGTTGCTATGAGGTTCAAAGACAAATCTAGTGGAGAATCAAAAGGACACACTATGTGGGTGTCACATCTGTCCTGAGAGGGCTCCCAAGATCCAGCTTTCCTGTCCAATATGCACATTCATTCTCTCTCTCTCTCTCTCCCTCCCTCCCTCCCTCCCTCCCTCCCTCACTCTCTGGAGAAACTGAGGGGAATTCTTTTTGAACCTTTGAGAAGCTGAGTTATCTCTCAGGTGATTGTAGCTAATCAGATTCCATACAGAAACTATAGAAACCGGGGCACAGCTGCATAAAAACAGTAGGGAAGGTAAACGGAGCCACCCTCTGTCAGAACTCCCTGCCGGGTAAACCGCAGTCACCCTCTGTCTGAACGCCCTGCCAGTGCATCGGAACAAACTCAGGTAAGGGTCTTCCCGTGTATTGTTTGGAGAGCCACCTGCCTCTGCCTTTCAAATGTTGGAATTAAAAGTGTGTGCCCCCACACCTGGCAGGGTCTTTATCATTGTTGTTATTGATGTTACTATTATAAATTTATTTGGGGGTGAGTGTGGGGGAATGCCCGCCTTGGAGCCTGTGAGGAAGTCAACCGGCTTTTGAGAGTCGACTCTTTAACAGTGTAGGTCCCAGGGACTTGAACACAGGTTCTCAGGTTTCAAAACAGGTGTCTCTGAGGAGCCCACAAGAGGTTGAATTTAGGGACAGCTGTTGCCCGTCTCTGGAAGAGTCCCCGGGGTTTCTGCTAGCTGTGCTCTGGGTCTCCATACACGCTGCTCCCGGCATGCGCACAAACTACCAGCTCTCCACGCAGGCCCACTGCGCCCCCTTACCTGTGTGGCCGTTGTTAGTCATGGAGAACTCCAACCCATCCTCCCCGTAGCCACTCAGGGTCAGGGGCTTCAAGAACCGGTTGAATTTCACCTTCTTACTCTGAAGATTGATGGGCGACTGCCTCTGCCCACCGCAGTCAGGGTACGCCCTTGGCCAGTCGCTCTCTTCCAGGTTGCCCCCTGCAACAGGAGAGAGTGGAGCCCAGTTCAGAGCTACCCAGCTGACTTCCTAGCAAGTCAGGGTCTTCAGGGTGAAGGACCCGCAGGCCAGCCTTCTGGAAACAGAAGCAGAGCTTCCAGAGGGCCGGCCAGAAGAGCTCTAAACTAAGCCAACGACTTGGCTTAGGGGGTGGCGATGGTGCCAACTTCCGACTCTTCTTTGTGTCTACTGGCACAAGAACCGGAGCTGATGATTCGTGTCCAGGGGTCTCCTCTGCAGAGTAGATAGCTGGCCCTCTTCTTTCCAGTATTCACGGCTGATGAATGCCCTGACGGGAGCCTAGGCCTACCAATAACCCCTAACCTCATTTTCAGAGAATATAGATTTCCTTCCAAGCCTGGTGCTTGAGGCCCTGGCTTCCCTTGTGCTGGAACCTTCCACAGATAGCAGCTGTTTTCTTGTTCCAACCTCTTCTTTGGGCCGACAGGAAGGCCAAGACAAGACCACCTAGGTGACCATATGGATACAGGGCATCTGAGAAGCACCCTTTGTTAAAGGGTGGTACAGGCCTGGCATCCCAGCACTGGGGAGGAGGAGGCAGGAGGATCAGAAGCACCAGTCATCCTTAGCTACAAACCAAGTTTAAGGCCAGCCTGTGCAACATTCGAGCCCCACGTAGCAGGTGTTTGCTCCACCCATGACCTTGGGCTCCCTGGCGTGTGTAGGCAGTGCTTCTCACCTACCTACGTGACCTCTTAAAAGGAAGGAGGGAGGGCCCAGCTAGTTCAGTTGGTAGAGCATGGGATTCTTTTTTTTAATTATTATTATTTTAAAAAGAAAACAAAATATCTTTTTATTTTCCATACTAATCCCAGTTCCCACTCCCTCCCCTCCTCCCATCCCCTCCACCTATCCTCCCATCCCACCCCCCATCCACTCCTCAGCGATGGTAAGGCACATTGCTTTGGGAAAGGTCCAAGGCCCTCCCTACTATATCTAGGCTTAGCAAGGTATCCATCCAAAGAGAATAGGTTCGAAAAGAGCCAATACAAGCAGTAAGGATAAATCTTGGTGCCACTGCCACCCACATTCAGAGGGACTAGTTTGGACCTATGCTGTTTCCTTCCCTGTCCAGCTGGTGTTGGTGAGCTCCCATTAGCTCAGGTAGACTGTTTCAGTGGGTGTCCCCATCATGGTCTTGACCTTTTTGCTCATATTCTCACTCCTCCCACTCTTCAACTGGACTTTGGGAACTCAGTCCAGTGCTCTGATGCAGGTCTCTGCCTCGGTTTCCATCAGTTGCTGGATAAAGGTTCTATGGTGGTGTTTAAGATCATCATCAGTCTGACCACAGGGCAAGACCAGTTCGGGCACCCTCATGTCTATTGCTTAGGGTCTTAGCTGGGTCATCCTTGTGGATTCCTGGGAATTTCTCTAGTGCCAGGTTTCTTGCTAGCCCCATAATGGCTCCCTCAATCAAAATATCTTTTTCCTTGCTCTCATCTCTGTCCTTCCTTCATCCCATTCCTTCAAGTTCTCCTCCCCTCTCTCCTTCTCCCCTCATCTTCCCCTTCTGCCTTCCCTACTTCTCCCACCCCCAGCACATGGGATTCTTAATCCCAGGGTCATGGGTTCATACCCCACACTGGGCGCCACTTTTAGTGAGAAATCCATGTGTGTCTGTTTAAGGGGTATCAAGGATTTATTAAGATATAAAAGAGGGGCTGGAAAGATGGTTCAGTGGTTAAGAGCACTGGCTGTTCTTCCAGAGGTCCTGAGTTCAATTCCCAGCAACCACACGGCGGCTCACAGCCATCTGTAATGGGGTCTGCTGCCCTATTCTGGCCTGCAGGCATATATGCAGACAGAACACTGTATACATAATAAATACATTTTATTAAAAAAGGAAAAGAGATATAAAAGGGGAAAATACACTCACAAAGACGGGATGTGATAAATTCAGTTGCCCAGTCCTTGGAAAGTTGGGGTCCAATCACACGCTGTTTCACGTCACCTGATCCAGTCTTCGCCATCCAAGAGAATGCATTCCCTGCCCTCCTTCCTTTTAAGAGGCCACTTGGGCCGGATAACCCAAGGTCATGGAAAGAGCGAACACGCACTACAATACTGTCTTAGAAAGCAACACAAACCAATAAACTTTCAGGTTCCAGCTTCTCAGGGGGCTGAAGTGAGAGGTTTTTTTTTGTTGTTGTTGTTTTTGGGGTTTGGTTTTTTATTTATTTTTTTATTTTTTTAGAGGCAGAAAGCTCTTTTGAATCCAGGTGTTAACCTGTTTTATGAAACATCTTACAATGTAGCCCTGACTGGTCTTGAACTTGTGGCAATCCTCCTGTTTTAGTCTTTGGGGTTTTGGGATTACAGTTCTGTTATACCAGGTATAAATAAGCCCAGAGGTTCAAGGCCAGCCTGGGCAATGTAATGAGATAGATACTCTCTTTAAAAAAGAAGAGAAGAGAGAAAAGAAGGAAGAAGTTTGGGAGGGAGGAAGGGAGGGAAGAAGGAATGGAGGGAGGAGAGAGCCAGAGAGAGAAGAGAAGGGAGGGAGGGAGGGAGGGAGGGAGGGAGGGAGGGGGGGGAGGGAGGGAGAGAGGGAGGCTGCAAAGTTTATCTTTTTGGAGATGGTTAATAATCCTGGACTCAGAGGAATGTCGACCAGTCACTACAGATGACAGAGGCCCCACATCACTGAGGGGTTTGGTTTTGGTTTATAAGACAGGATCTGGATCTCTCTATGTAGCCCAGGCTGTCTTTGAACTCACTGTTAGCCAGGCTGGCCTGAAACTCAGATCCACCTGCCTCTGAGTCCTGAGTACTGAGACTGAACGCGTTTGCTATCATGGTTCAGCCATCTGCGGTTGAGGACCTGCAAGGGTAGCTCTCCATGAGTGCATGACTTGTTCTAGGTAGGAACTGAGCTCCAGTCGGGGCTTCATGATTTGCAATCCACAGAAAAGTTGATTCTCTTCTCGTCCCATTCAATAATTCAAACCAATTTTTAAACAATTCTTTCTGAGAGGTGAAATACCAAGATCAAGGAAAGAGGCCTGAGGCACACCCTTCTGGGACCCAAGTGCTTTGGGTCTGGGTCTCATGGACGCTGGGAAGAAGCCAGGGGCACAGCTCAACAGCAGAGCCTGCCCAGCACACACAAGGCTCCAGTCCTAGTGCTAGGGGAGGGAAAACGTGGGGCAGCTTACACATTGTCCTCCTGGGCACTTACAAAAGTCACCCTGCGTTCTCCAGGCCTCTGGATGCCAGGGCCAGTCTGGGAGTCTCTGCTACCATAAGGAAGACAAGAATTTGCCACCAGAACCCTCTGTCTTCTGTCACCTCTGCACCACCGCCAGTAAGACTGCTTGATGACACAGGTATGGGCTCCTTTTAGAACAGGATTATTAATGGGGCTGCCCTATGAATTGGATTATCTGAGCCTCTACAATGTCCCTGAATCTGTCACCTTGATTTAGGGCTCACAATTCCCTCTGAATGATCAAGCCATGCAGGGAAGACTTTGTCCTGTGCAACTCTGGCCTCCTGTACCATCCAGCGGTCTCCAGTCTCCCCCAGAAACCCCGACTCCCAACCTGGTTCTATGGGGATACAAGTGGGAAGATTCTCAAGTTCCCTTTGTGCAGTCTGACTGGACATCTCAAGGTAAGGTTCTGCAGAAGGCAAGGCATCCTCCATTGGATCCTGGGGGACTGGGAGTATGCACATGTCTGAGGAGAATGCTATCTGTGGTCTAGTAGTCTTTTCTACGAGGCCATAAGTGTCCTTTCTAGAAGTCTCATTTGTCACACATTTGGATAGCAACAACTTTATAAGAAGACGTGGGTTCTTGGAGCAGCCAATACTGAGTGGAACAGATTTTAAAGCCACCAGGTGAAGCTGGGCTGAGGCAGGGGAACGCTGTCTCTTCTTCTCCTTCATCGGGGTTGAAAGTCTATTTGTTCATTCAGAGATAGCAAAACACATGTGAACCCAAAGAGCAGGTGGACCCCACCAGAGGACCCACACCCAGCACCGGAGGGCTGGCTTGTCACCCTATCTGGAAGTGCCAAGTGGCTGCTTACCTGAATAGGTCCAATGAGTCTCGGCCTGGATGCCCAGGAGGAACAGGGACACCACCGTCACCAGAACCCTCATGGTAGATGCTGAAGACCTGAAAGCAGCACAACTCTGGGCAGCACTTCTTTTAAGAGCCCAGAAACTGTAAATAACAATTTACCGGGTCCAGCTGGCTCATCCGCCCTTGCTGCACCCACTGAACAATAACACCCTCCCCACAATGGCCCTTCTGACTTGGTGCCTTGTGCACGTGTCTCACCTCCTCCCAGGGCATTACCATAGCCAATTAACCCATGTCTGGTTGTTCAACATCTTTGGAAGCTCAGTCCAGGGGCCACACAGTGCAGCCATTGTGGGCCTTGAGTGATGAGTGATCTGGAGGGATATGAAGAGCCCGAGGCACAGCGCACCCGGAAACAGGGGCTTCCTGGAGGGTGGCATTTCCTCTGCCCTTTCTCCTGGCTGTTGGGGGGAATCATCGGTGTCTGAAAACCTTGCCAGATTCTAGTTGATATTTCCTGCCTGTTCCAGAGTAGACAGAACATCCCTAATGATTCAGGCTTGCCTACTCCCTTACACACACACACACACACACACACACACACACACACACACACACGGCCAGCTAGGCAATTGGGAAGATAGTCTGGTACCCTAGATAGCTTTGGGCAAGAAGTGGAAGAGGCAACTGGAGGCAGGGATAGCGTTATCCTCAACCTAAATCAGCCAGCAGCTGGGGACCTTGGAGCCTGGCTCTTGAGCTTGATCCGCACACATGCCTTGGGGCCATTGGGGAGGAGAGGGTGAAAGCGGTCTGGATCAGTTCTCACGTTTCTCCTGGGATTTGTCCTGACAGTGCCATACATTGGGCACACCCAAGCCGAACCAATGAGTTGTCTAATCCTTGTACATCCATGTGGCTAGTGCAGGAGAAACGAGCATGTATGCCCGCTGAGAAGCCAGCGTTTCCCATGTGCAAAGACGTAGGGCAGGTGGGGTTCCCAGAGGGCATCTGTCATGCTGGCCACTTGCGAAGAACTGATCTGCTCTGGCAAATGGCAAACCCCCTCGCCAGTTTCCTTTATCTCCCTGCCCGCTCATCCCCAGGCTGAGAGATGTCAAAATGGTAGCATGAGGTCACAAGAGCTGTGTGAGGGGCAGTGGGGTTGCACACTGCAAAGACCTCCCTGCATCCCTTGCTGTGAAGACCCCCCTAAAATATTAGACCCATAAAGCTCAAGACCTCAAAGAATCTCAAGGAAGCGGTTACCCGTCTGTGCCTCAGTTTCCCCATCTTCAATAGGCGCTCTCTACAGTACTGCCCCCTCACACACACATCCAGGAATTCAGCAATAAATTTGTGCACAGTGCTCAAAGCAGGGCCTGATACATAGCAACTGGCATTAATTTTGAATTTCTCATTTTACGACAAGGAGATGACTTGCCATTGTCACCCAACTAGTGATTGAGGGACCAGAGGGTACAAAGCACTTGCTCTTCAGCTCATCGAGTTTCTCCAGGTTCAAAGCACACTGCCATCTCAGCTAAGTCAGTCTTGCCTGCTCTGCTGAGCCCCTGGCCTGGCATAAAGGGCCACCTTGTTATTGACCCCATGTCCTTGTTGTCCCCATGAGCCTCCAGCTCTGCTGAAGAGTTTAGCAGAGATCACCACAATTGGGAAACTGAGGCAGGAAGAATGCTGTGAGTTTCAGGCAAGATGACTGCCAGGGGGATGAAGCCAGCCTGGGCTACGGAATGAAACCCCGTCTCAAGGAGGGTGGGGGGTGCTAGCTAGAGAGATGCCTCAGCTGTTCAGATGAATGCTACTTCTTGCAGAGGACCCAAGTTCAGTTCCCAATAGCCACATCAGGCAGCTAACAACCACTTGTAACTCCAGATCCAGGGGATCTACTACTCTTCCAGCCTCTGTGGACCTTGGCACGGGCGCACGCACACGCACGCACACACACACACACACACACACACACACACAAATAAATAAATAAATAAAGAGAAACCAGAAGAAAAAGAGATGAGCATGCTATCGAGACCTGGGGATACAGCTCAGTTGGTAGTTCTTCCCCGACACGCACAAGTTCCTGGTTCAGTCCTCACCATCGCATAACCCTGGTGTAGTATCATACGACCGTACTCAGAAGTTCAAAACCATCCTGTGTGTACTGAGTTTGAGGCCAACCTGAACGACATAAGACACTGTCTCTAAAAAAAGGGGGGAATGCAGATTCTCACCAACTCCAGACTGGAAAACACAAAACCCATCTCAGGCTGGCCCTGAACTCAGACCCACCAGTCTCTGCCTGCAGAGTGCTGGGATTAAAGGCGTGCAGATTTGCCTTGGAAATTTGCACGGGCAAACAGTGTGTAGCTGAGGGTCGGGGGCAGTGGATCTGGGGAGATGCTGGAGTGGAGGAAATTCAGCAGGCTGGGCCTTGGAAGGGTAAGAGTGCCCAGGCGGGGAAAGAGGCAGAGGAGAGACCAGAATGTTTCTGAGGCAGGAGGACTCCAGGAAGTGGCAAAACAGATCATGTTCACCACTCCCTGTAGCTCCTAGCCTCACCTCATCTCGCCTAAGGTTTGGCAACCCTAAGATTAGCATTTTGGGGTTGCAGGACAGACAGCCTTTGTGCTTCTGTGCCCACTCCCATGCACAGCTGCTCGATGCTGGCCTGTGTTAAAGACAGCAATTAAATTAATAAAGGGAGTAGAGCTGACCAGCTCCTGAAATCCAGGAGCCACCTGCTAACAAGGGCACATCACTAGAGATGGGGTCCCCTCCCTCTTTCGGGTGTCATTGCTCCCCATTACTTAACACAGAATAAGATAATGTCAATTTTGTTGCCTAATTTCTGACTCACTGTCTTCTTTGATCCTAAAATTTTCCATCCATCGACTTTGAACAGAAATATCTTGCTTCTTGTGTTTGTGGGATGGACAGACGTGTGTGTGAGAGTGTGTGTGTGTGTGTGTGTGTGTGTGTGTGTGTGTGTGAATATAAACTCCTATCCTCACACCATACCCCCAGCTCGCTGAAGCTTATTTGTATTCTGAATTCTTGTTTTCCACAGCTCATCGTTTGATTGACAGTTTGAGATGAGCTGACAGGGGGATCATTTTCATCACAATGGAAAGTTAAGATTGAGAAAGGAGTCTTTGTGTTTTCTGCATTTATGACTATCTGTTCCATGGAAAGGCCCCAAAAGGGGAAGAAGAAGAGAGGGAGGCATAGTCACGCCAGGTGATACGGAAGTGACAGCAGCCCAAGTAAACAGACTCCGCCTGCCCAGGTGGAAGGGCCATGTGCTCAGCCCACATCTGTCCACACATGGATCAGGGAGGTGATCAAGCAAGGTGAGCACAGGTGAGCTGGAAGAGAGCCCAGGAGCCAACACACAGGCTCATACAGGACTGTGAGCACACAGGGAGTCTAAAAGCTGAGCCCTTCTGCACAGTGGGTTCTCTGCATCATTTGGTCCCAGCACAGAAGCAAGATGTTTGATCTCAGCCGGGCGATGGTGGCGCACGCCTTTAATCCCAGCACTCCGGAGGCAGAGGTAGGCGGATCTCTGTGAGTTCTAGACCAGCCTGGTCTACAGAGCTAGTTCCAGGACAGGCTCCAAAGCCACAGAGAAACCCTGTCTCGAAAAACCAAAAAAAAAAAAAAAAAAAAAAGATGTTTGATCTCTCCCTACTGAAGCCCTCTTGCTTGCTTTGCTGTTTTCATCCGAGACGGAGTCTTTACCTGCATCTGGCTCTTCTGGAACTCACTATGTAGCTTGAGCTGTCCTCAAACTTGTTATAGTAGACCAGGTTGGCCACGAACTCAGAAGTCCACCCACCTCTGCCTCCTGAGCGCTGGAATTAAAGGTGCAGGCTACCACGCCTGGTGAAGCCTGCTTTCTTAACCCTCTTTGAGAATATCTCAAAGCTTTACCGAGCTGGAGGTTCAGCAGGGAACTTACCTAGGGCACAAGGTTCTAGCGGATACCTAGGGGAAAAGTGAGTAACTTCTTCTGTTTAAGGTAGGGCCTCATGCACCCAAGACTGGCCTCAAGCTCACTGTGTAGCCAAGGATAAGCTTGAATTTCTGATCTTCTTCTCTCTATTCCCAAGTGCTGATTCTAAGCGTGTCTGTGCCTCCATGATAATTTATGGAGTGCAGGGGATCAAACCTAAGGCATGTGGGTAAGAACTCTACCAATTGAGCTACATCCCCAGGCCTGGCATACTTTCCTTTCTTCCTTCCTCCCTTCCATTTGTTTGGAAACAGGGTCACACCATGTAGCTCTGTCTGTGTCCTGGAACTCACTCTGTAGACCAGGCTGGCCTTGAACTCACAGAGATCCACCTGTGCTGCTGAGCTTGAACTTGCTCAGTTTCAGAGACCACTGGTCTCATGTGTTCTAGAACTCAGCACCTGTCCTGTCGTAGGGTTTCTTTCTTCCTTCCTTTCTTTTTTTCTTTCTTTCTTTTTGTAGTTTTATTTATTTATTTATTCATTTATTAAAGATTTCTGCCTCCTCCCCGCCACCGCCTCCCATTTCCCTCCCCCTCCCCCGATCAAGTCCCCCTCCCTCATCAGCTCGAAGAGCAATCAGGGTTCCCTGACCTGTGGGAAGTCCAAGGACCACCCACCTCCACCCAGGTCTAGTAAGGTGAGCATCCAAACTGCCTAGGCTCCCCCAAAGTCAGTACGTGCAGTAGGATCAAAAGCCCATTGCCATTGTTCTTGAGTTCTCAGTAGTCCTCATTGTCTGCTATGTTCAGCAAGTCCGGTTTTATCCCATGCTTTTTCAGACCCAGGCCAGCTGACCTTAGTGGGTTCCTGATAGAACATCCCCACCTTTCTTTTTTTTTTTTTGAGCCTGTCCTAGAACTAGCTCTTGTAGACCAGGCTGGCCTCGAACTCACAAAGATCTGCCTGCCTCTGCCTCCCTAGTGCTGGGATTAAAGGCATGTGCCACCACTGCCCAGCTTGTCATAGGGTTTCTATAAGCAGGCATAGCGTCCATCTGATCAGTTCTTCCTGGGCATGGTGGCACGCATCTGGAATCCAGCAACCAGGAGATGGGGGCAGGGGAACCAAGAGTTTAAGGTCATCCTTGCTATATAGAGATTTAGAGGCCAGGCTGAAAGACAAGGGACTCTCCTTATAAACAAAACAGAGCCAGGCATGGTGGC